GTTTGAAAAAATTGGTATCGTTGCATCCCTAATTCAAATGGATCTAGAACAGTTTCATATGGTCTCATATTTTATCTAACATAGCTGTATTTTATTTTCACCTTAGCGCATTCATTCTTCCTTTGTTTTTATCATGTACAGATTTATGATTCACTTCAAGCAACTGGATGAATAAAAACAGATAAAAACAAAGAATCTGAAGTTTAACACTATATTTTTGTTGTTATTCATGATGTAGCCGGATGGGCTGCTCGCCTTTCTTTGTCTCTTTCTCGCTCGCTCTACCGCCCTCGCGCTCTCCTGCGCAACGAGGTTAATTGGGAACCCTCCTGCATATTGATTGCAGGGGGGCGTCAGCCCGTATAAAGCTAAGCAGGTGTATTTCTGGATCGTTCCTCCCGTGTGTTTGGCGCAGTAAATGCTGGCACACCGCGACGGATTGATCAGCAAGCGAGTAGATCGTATGACAGCTGCAGGTAGTGATGGTGAGATGAACTGAAGCTTCCATCCAACTGGTCGACTCATGGTTCGAAGCATTGTGATGATTCATTTGCTCTACTGCGCCATCAAGTGGACGATTCAAGTGAAACAGGCTCTGTGATTATAATGATGTGTAAACCTCTAAACTGAATAAATAAATTGTTTTCATGGTTATTTATCCTGAATATTGTCTCAGTATCTCTGATACAAAAGAGAAAGTGGAAACTATCAGGACAGAGTTTTGGTATGATTGTGTAACTGTTAGCCTCAGACAGTCAGTCAATAGTATAATTCAGATCATAGATCAGTACATTTGCATATTTTTATAACTATAAAAGGAAGCTGACACTTTCGAGACTTTATCTGAGGTGTGAGCATCACAGCAGATGTCTTTGTGTCAAAGTAGCTGAAGATAAAACAGAAAAACGATTTTACAAAAATATTCTGCAGTAGATCAAAAACGAAAGAAAATCATTAATCAATAAATGAACATTACCTGATGCTGCTGAACTGAAGCAGAGCAAATTACAGAGGTTTTATTAGAGACACAGCGTTTTGCATAATGTTAAAAAGTTTAAATTTGTTTAGTAGCCTATTGAATGGCAGAAATTAGGTTTTCTTTTTGGAAGTAAGTAAAAGGGAAAAAACAGCGTCTGACAGCCTGTAAACAACTGTAGACTTGTGCGTAACAAGCAAGCGAATAATGAAGAAAACAGATTTTTAGACGGGAAAATGTTCTTGAAGTACAGAGAGAGAGAGAGAGCTGTGCATGAAGTGTTTATCGTGGTGGAAGCAAAGCAGCAAAAGTCAGAGTGAATCCATGACGACGTTTATGTGAAGCGTAGTTTGGATCGTCTTTTGCTGCTGGTTCGGTCAATATTGTTTGGAGAGAGATAAAACTAACAGCTCTAGAATCAGCGCAAAAAGGACGTAAACACAAAGCACGGACCCGCCGACGCATCAGAATCAGCGAGCTGTCGGCTTTCAGCTCCGACCGTGTCCGTGCCGTCAGGTGAGAAAGTCACATCTCACTGATTCTGATGCGTCAGCGGGTCCACGCTTCGTGTTTACGTCTTTGTGCAGAATCGGTGTTCCTGCTCTCATTTACTGTTTTAGCTGTTTGGTGGTTGTTGAAATGTAGTGAAATCTATATTAAAAAATCAGATTTTAATGAATCGATATCACGTTATCCAAGCTAGATAATCGATAATCAAAACCCGCCCCTGGTAACTGTGTAATCATGCTTATGCACATCTGGATAATGACACAAACTAGCGTGTGGCGCTTTTTAATAAACTAAAAATCAGATTATAGGATCTGTAGTGTTGTTTATTTATATTACTGTGTGCATACTTTATTAGGAGAGATGAAATAAAAAAATCTCTTCCTTGCTGGTCCATCGAAGAAGAAATGCTCAAGTAACTGTGTAACACGTATGTAATCCAGTTCCACAGTGATGGGAATCAGCTGTGTTTTGCTGCCCATTTTATTTCGAACCTGGACAATTACCACCAGCACAAGCCTTCCAGTTTGGTGCGTGTGTGTCTTTTATTAAAGTTATCAAAGTTGGTTTTAGTTTTTATGATCTGTAGCGAGCCTGACGCTCAGTGTCCTTTTATTCTTTTAACGCATTGCTCTGTGTTGTATCTCAGTGGACGGAGGACCAGTGGCCCTGGGACCTCAGCTGGTGGGTCGTTTTCACACTTCCTTTTGCACAGCACCGGGTGGGCTGTAGTAATTTTCTTTTTGTGTGATTTTCTTTTGGGTCCACGGCTGCTGGTAAGTCCAAGTTCCATGGTTGTTTTATTTCTAACTTGAGGACACTGTCAACAACGACGCTACCTTTTGCTTTCTAATATTTTATTTATTTTAACCGTAAATAAAACCGTATTAATATTGGAGCCAACCTGCCTCGTGTGCATCCTTGAATCTGTGCAGCCTCTTTTTATTCCTTTTATCTATTTTTCTTAAATGTATATTTCCTGGGGGTGAAATTCATGGTGACGTCGTCATTTTACTATTTCTTTTATAACCCCGCCGACCACCTGGTCACAATCTGTTTCTCTTTGTACCTTCACCCAGGCCTCTTCAGTTTCTGTTTCCTTCTCCTCTTCAGCTACGCTCAGGAGTAGCCTCCTCTGAGCTTTCTTCTCCTCTTCCTCCTTGTTCACCTCCTGGAACTCCACAATGTAGCCTGTGACCTTTGACCCTCCGTCCACCAGAGGCGGAATCCACTCGAGCTCAACTGTAGACTTTGTCCAGTCCGTTACCTTTGGAGTGGGCGGTCCAGGAGGCTCTGCGTGTACAAATTGAAATATGTGATTAGAAGCATACACAGCGGTAAAACATGTTTCACCACCAACTAGGGATGCAAC